GCCTCTCCTCCGATCTCATTACCGCTTTCCCTCCTCTCATCTTCCTCCTTCTTCTACTTCATGATATAAGTACTCGAAAAGGGGGTTAGGATCCTCCTGTTTGAGTCATTTCAATTGATAATTAAATGAATGAATTGAATGAAATGTTGATGTCATCAAATACAAAATGTCGCATATATCTACAACAACAACAACCAATGGCGCCAATCATTCATATCCCACGGTTTAGTCAGTCCATTTACATATATTACAATACAATATTATAACCACTTCAAATATTCGATATTTTCAGGATAATTGTCACACTATCATTCATTGAATTTTATTCAAACTGTCAACTTTTTTTTCTCATCATTAAATCGAAAATTAATTGGGGCAAATAAAAAAAAAAGAAAAAGAATAGTGTAGGGAAATGTTAATATGGTAATGATATGTTGTAATTGTATTTAGTTATTTTCTCTTCCTTCCCTTTCTCTCTCTCTTCTTCTCTCTATCTTCCTCCTCTGTCTTTCAGATGGGAGAGGGAGAGAGAGATAGATAGAAAAGGAAGAGAGAATAAGTTCAAAATGATATTAACATGAAAAAAAAAAAATATTAATAATCTGTTGAAATACCGCAAATTTGGAATGTAATATAACTCAAACTAATTGTGTGATACTATACTAATATAGTTATATCCTCTATATGAATCTTTTTTTTTTTTATCTTTTTATTTTCCCCGCTCCTTTTCCCTTCCCCGCCCCTCCGCTTTTTTCCATCCTATTTGTCATTTACTCCTTTGAGGTTTTTTTTTTTTGTCATCCAACACTTCCATTAATTTCAAATTTGTTATATTTGAACTTTTTTACAAGGATCCTTTTCAGGCTTATCAATACCCTAATGTAATTTTGCCAGGATATTTGCTTATAATTTAATATCCTAGCAATATGATAAGTTAATAATTTAATCAATTTATCATTTATTTGATTTTAAATCCAATATTTATTGTGTAATTTAGTCCTAATTTACTCTTTACATTGCTTCAAAATGCCTGTTTATTTTTAGACAAGAAATTCATTTCTTTTTTCTGCTAAGCTTAATCATATTACAATTATTTATCATTTTTCAAGAGTCGCATCCGATCACTAATCATATCAAACTGTTATAAGATAAACAACTTATATTTAACTCAACATTTTTGAAATTCTTTTTAAAATAATAGAGCTGTTACTTCTCTAGTTCTACACTTCAATTCAGCTCTTTTGGGAGTTTGATAGAAATAAACCATAGCATCATTTCAGAAATTGATCCAAACAAAAAAAAAAAAGTTAGTCAGTTTCCGGAGAGAACATGTCAAAAAGATCTTTTGGATTGCTGAAATTGACTTTATTAAAGTTTATCCTTTATGAGCTTATATTCTTTACAATCGTTTTACTTTCATTGTTCATTGGTGATTATTTACATTTGCAAATTCACTCTTTCTTTGTGATATTATTACAATATTCAAATGTTATAAGAAATATTAACTTGATACATTGTTAGAGCTTAACCGGAAGAATCAAAACTCTTGAAACTGTACCGGGACAAGAAAAAGAACGGATTATGAATCGATCCGTTTAAAAAGGCGTAATTCTTGATGAAAATAAATTTATAAATTCAATTTCGAATAATTCATCCTTTTTTTTTCCTTCTCTTCCATGAAGCAAGAGAAATTAATTGCGAAGATGGGTAATTAAAAATAATTCAAAAATTTCATAGATTTGCAAACTAAAACCGAAATTTATTTAATTTATTCTGCAAATCAGCCATCTGTATCATTCATTCAAATTACTAACAGCTTTTATGGTCTCTTCAAAACAGGAATGGTTAAATGTACGAATCTTTGGATTTGTTTGCCGGAAAACTAAATTATTCGGTAATAAATGATAAAATTCTTATGCATATTGGATGAATTAGAATTTAAAAAAGGAAACAGCAGTAACTAAGGAAATTAATTAAGTAAAAATGACAATCGAATTAAGTGACACAATTAAAAGTGAGCAATGTTTTTACTTTTGCCTTATTTCAGAGCGCTGGTTCCCTTTGTGTCTATGCTTTGGCTAGTATTTATGTAAATTTGACAAATTCTTATGACAAACCAAAGATCGATGAAGAACTTGTTAAGCTTGCACAGGTGAGATAATGCTGTCGGATTAAATTTACTTCGGTTCTTTTAAAATATTGATGGACATTTGGGAAAAGTGTTGATCGTATATCAGAAACTAATCTTCTAATTGGCGGAATTAGTTGCTTTAATATATTTTCGAAATTTGTTACTTCGATATCTGTATGATTGGAGTACTTGGTGCAAGTTCCAGAGCACTG